ATCAGATCAAAATAAAAGAAAATACTGGTATTGATTAGCTCTGTTCCGTAGATATTTTTCTTCAAATGATCACACGCCTTTTTTCTCATGTAAATGTCACCTTAATCAAATCAGTAAAAATTAGTCAACAGCAGCAGAAATACCTATGTATCTAACACCATCATACACTTGTGTTGTTCTACACACTTTCATATACATTATCCTAGCAGAAGTTCGCAATCATTTTGTAAGTTAGGCAGGTCAGATAATATTATAACTGTCTTTCACTGACAAAACCGAAGTTCAATGAAGTTAAACCACTGTTTATAACTGAGACAGCTAAGAGGAAAAGACTTCAACTTGGCATCTTCTGCCTCCTAGCTCTGTATTGCATATTCCTTGTAAATATTTATTTTTAAGAAACTGTGTACGTGTTGGTGTTTGTACAGACATATATATGTGTATGGGTGTACATGCACATGTGTGCCTGTGTGTGGTGGCCAGAGGACAACCTTGGGTGTTATCCTCAGGAATGCTGTCCACCTCTTTTGATACAGAGTCTCTCAATGGTCTGATCTCAAGAATTAGGTGAGACTGGCTGGCCAGTGGGTCCCAGGGAGCCCCATCATAAAGACTACAAGCTCATGCCGCCAGGTCTGGAATTTTCTATGCTGGTTCTGGAAACTCAAACTCAGGTTCTCATGCTTTCAAAAAACGTCCTTTACTGCCTGAGCCATTCTCCCAGTACTCTCCAAAAACAATTGTAAGAAAATTCCATTTTTTCTTATTAATGGCTATCTTTTAAATATAGAAGAGTATATCTCAATTTAATCAATATAAAACTCTTGAGTTTACATGAATGAATTGCTTTAAGTGAAATATTTTAATGACACCATAAACATTTTCCATTTTAAAGCAACCACCCTCATTGGAATTGCATAACTGACAATTTCCTAGCTATAACAAATAATCATTCTCTGATGTATATTTCATGTTAATTCAAGTTTTTAATGGACTTTGCACAAAGCAAAATATATTCAGTGATTTTTAATTTTTACCTTTATAGTACTCAATATATACAAAATAATTTATCAAAACCACTAATTGATTAATTCTCTAGCACAACATATAACTGATTTAAATAATGGTAATAATATGCAAAATTTCCTGGCCTTACATTTGCTTCTCCACAATCTAATATTCCCTCTTCTATTCCTCTGTCACTTGCCTAACATTTTCCTTTGACTGGCAAATAAATTGAAAGAAGAATTAGCAAACTTAATGTTGCTTTTTATTGCTGATGTTATGGTACAGACCTAGAAACTCCAAGAAATTTCAGTCTTTATTAGACTTTAATTTTTTTATTATTATTTTATGTTGTATGGGTGTATTGCCCGCATGTATGTAAGTGCACCCGTGTCGTGCAATGCCCGTGGAGGACAGAAGAGGCTGTCGGATCCATTAGAACTGGAGTTACAGACAGTTGTTAGCTGCCATATGGATGCTGGGATTTGAACCCGGGTCCTTTGCAAGAACAGCCAGTGTTCTTAACCACTGAGCCAACTCTCCAGCCCCTCCATTAGACTGTAATAGAACTAAAAATATGTTTTCCTAAAATAATTGTATTAGAAATTAATAAGAGACTTTGGCATTGTAACTGGATACTACATAAATATTCAAAACGATTAGCCTTTCTCTTCATTATAGCAATAAGCAAATAGAAATGGAAAAATTCTTTTACTATCATGATCAAAATTGTAGGATAATTAAGAGTAAAATTATTAGACAGAATCTATATGAAGACAATTATGAAATCTTCTCAAAGGTCAAAAATTCCACATGAGGCCAGATGTGGAATTTTCTACTTGTAGAATATGATGGTCTGGGGCTGGAGAGATGGCTCAGCAATTAAGAGCACTGGCTGCTCTTGCAAAGGATTGGGGTTCAATTCCCAGCACCCACATGGCAGCTACAGAGCAGCAGTAACTCCAGGTCTGGGGATTCGATGCCCTCTTCTGACCTCTGCAGGCATTGCATGACACAGTGTGCTGGATAGCTTTAGTTGTCAACTTGACAACACCTGGGTAGCGGGAGCCTCAACTGGTGAATTGCTTCCATTAGAGTGGCCTGTAACCATGTCTGGGGCACCTTCTTGATTATTGAGTGATATGGAAGGGCCTAGCCCACTGTAGGTGGTGCCACCCTTTGGGCAGATGGGCCTATATTGTATAAGAAAGCAGGTTGAGGGCTGGAGAGATGACTCAGTGGTTACAAGAACTGATTGTTCTTGCAGAAGACCCAGGTTCAAATCCCAGCACCCACATGGCAGCTAACAACCATCCATAACTCCAGTTCCAGGGGATCCAACACCCTCTTCTGTCCTCCACAGGTATTGCATGACACGGGTGCACTTACGCACATGCAGGCAATACACTCATAAACATAAGTAAATTTATTTTATTTTATTTTAAAAGAAAGCAGGTTGAGCAGGGCCAGGGGAACAAGCCAGTAAGCAGTGTTCCTCCATGGCCTATGCTTCAGCTCCTGCCTCCAGGTTCCTGCCCAGAGTTCCTACCTTGGGTTCCCTGATGAACTATGACTTGGAAGATGTAAGCCAAATTAACCCTTTCCTCCCCAAGTTGATATTAGTCAGAGTATTTTGTCACAGCAATGGAAAAACAAACTAGAACAATAGGTATACTTACATGCATTCAGAAAATACACACACACACACACACACACACACACATAAAATAAAATAAAATAAATTTTTAAAAAGAATGACGATACAGAGAGAGGATACAAACTAGGAGATGAATTCAACCCAAGACCTAGAAAGGAAAGTCAGCAACATAGAGGAAAAGGTCAGCAAAATGAATGAGAAAATTAGCAATATAAAAATTCAGCAAAGAAGTTGAAATTAAAAAATAAATATTAAAAATGAAAAACCTCAATGAATCAAATAAAAAACACAGTAGAAAGCATTACTGATAGACACAACTGAGCAGAAGAAAAAAGGACAGGATAAAGGAAATATTACATTCAAATAACAACAACAACAAAAACCCAGCCAAAAAAAAAAAAACAAAAACAAAAAACAGCAGTCTTATAACATCTAAGAACTCTGGGATATAATCAAAGACCAAACCTAAAAATTCAGGAGTTTAAACACTGAAGGCACAGAAAAATTCCCCAAGTCTGAAAAAAGAAATGCACCTTTAAACATAAGAGGCATTCAGAACTCCAAATAAACACAACCAGAGAAAAGCCTCTCTACAACGTGTTACATTCAAAATGTCAACAACATAAAGAAACAATATTAAAAGCTAAAAGAAAATTACCAACTCACCTACAAAGGCAGAAACATCAGAACACCATCAGATCTTTCATTAGCAATCCTAAATCCAGAAAGCGTGGACTGATAGATTTCTCTTTTTAAATATTGGTTTATTTTGTTTGGGAGGGAGTCATGTGTGCCACAGTACTTATGTGCTGGTCAGAGGACAACTTGTGGAAGTTGGTTCTCTCCTTCTATTATGTAGGTTTTGGGGATTGATTGAACTTGGGTCATCAGGCTTGGCTGCAAATGCATTTACCCACTGAGCCATCTCACCAGTCCTAAACTGATGTGTTTCAAGTCCTGAAACTAAATAACTGCCAACCAAGATTGTTATACTTAACA